ACCTTAAATGTAAAATGGACATTTGATTATAATAAATAGAAATAAGAACTTAAAGAAAGTCGTTGATACTTTGTTTCACAATATGAGAGCATAGCTTGGTGTTGGCTGAACTAAATGGAGCACGTTGTAGGGAACAATATGCAGGTTCTTAAGTCAATGAAGCAGAGTGGAGAATGGAAACAGTCAATACCCAGTGAATCAGGGTTTTAGTCAGAATGGAAGTTATTTGCTGCAGGAAGGATGCAATACTTCTTAGGAGTTGGTATGAGGTCTTATGCACAGTCAGTAGGGTCATCATTAGTTGGTGATACTGGACACTTGTAGGAATCTCTGGAAGATGACACTTAGTCACACCTTATGATTAATGATAGTATCCATATGGACTGGTGTATGTATTGTTATGTTCATTTCTGTGAGGATTTGAAATATAGTGTAACTTGCTGACACTAGGCAGGTCATTGCAGAGAGCTTGTGGCATGACAGCAAGGGAGAAATGAAACCACTAAGCAGGATAGAGTCCTTGGTGCATTGACTGCAGTAGTAGATATGCTGTGTGCATGCACACTTTTATACATATGCTAGTGACAATGGTAGAACCTCTAGAAGTTAGGAAACAGATTCACATTCATCATAGCAAAAAGCCTGTGATTGCAGACCAAAGAAATTGTACAACTATATAAAACTATGTATCTTTCAATTTATTAGTATGAAACTAGACATCCATAGACTTATCCTATATTCTGTCCTCTTGAAGGGAATCATAAATAAAGGTGTTCAAATGTCCTTGATATAGTCAGGACTTTGATTATTGATGTGGTGTTCGGGAGTATGTCATCCTTACACGAATAATTCACATTCTGAAAATCAGTCACTGGTGGTTGAAGAAGCAGTAGTAGGCATGTGAAAAGGAGGCTGAGTCACAGAAGTTGAAGGTGAATTTGATTCCAATGCAGTGACTGGCATAAACATAGAAGTGCCTGCTGACATCTGTAAGGTTAGGAAGGTGCCATCAGACAAGCTTACCAATCTTCGTATTCAAAGATTTTAAGCTTATGTTAAGAGCTCTGTCTGATAATGGCTATAATGTTTTCAAAGTCTTCTTTAATATCACTTGTACTATTTCTCACTTGATGGTCATTGGAGACATCATCAGATCCTCACTCTCTCTATTTGCACTCTTCATGCTGCTCATGGGTCCTTCATAGGTCATACTATCTGGCTCTGTTAGGAGATTAGATGTTCCAAATGCCATTTCTTGTCGTGCCAAAGATAGAGGTAAGTCCTTTGAGTTGGTAACTTTGGCATGGTTTTATTAATCCTAATAGTTCTAAATCTCCTTTGAACCTTCTTGGATGCTTCAAAATGAGACCTTTTAACTATGTATTTATTAACAGTAGCCCTTCCCATATAGCATTTGTTCCTAAATCCACGTCATTCAGTTGTCTGTCTTCACCGACTCACTAAAACGGTTCTTGGTGTGGTCACAAACTCCTCCAGTTTTCAACCCCAATCGTGATTTTGCAATCTTCACTTCCTAGAAAAACCTATTTCTTTTAATTTTATAATCAAACGATATGGAATACTAGATAGTGATGACTTTTTTAAGGGTTTATAAAAGCTCTGCACTGATTCTGAGTCTATGGCTAATTAAAGCCTGGGGATAGACTCCCATATGACATGCATCAAGGTTTCCCCAACTCAATGGTAAGTATCTCAGTGGAAGTTATTAAGAAACGGTCTGATCCAAAAGGAAATATTGAGTCCTCATACTCTGACCTCTAACCTGAACCAGGTAAAGAACAGAAATGTAGTTAATACATTAATAGGGACTCTGAGACACCAAAGATCAGATATTTTTCAATAGAAGAATTGAGTGATTTTATGTGAAAGAATCATGCAGTACACAAGCAATGACCGCAGACTCTGGAGGCTCAACAGTTAGAAGAACTGAGGTGGGTGGCAAGATTACCTTATCTACTAATGTTGAAGTCCTGGTGTGATGCTGTAGGATGAGCACTGGACTGCTAATCTCAAGGTTAGTTGTTTAAACCCACCAGCCACATCTCAGAAACCCTATATAGAGTTGCAATGAATCAGAACCAGCTCAATGGCACTTAGAAACCACCGCAACTAATATATTGATGTTTACTAGCCTGAAAGTCAACTTTGATTATTCACCAAGTTCAAAATCACCAGGTGAAACAGAACTATTCAAAAGCTCTGCTTCTAACAGTGATTAATGAATGTTATAGAATACATCCTTTCATCATGTAGAAGAGAAGAGAAATAGTATCAATTCAAGTGATTTGGGTAAATATGTAGTTTATAGATTTGTAAAAGACTGGCAGAGATGAATTGAGAGGGACACCTTAGAGCCCAAGATCCTGAATTCTGAAACTTCTTACTTCACAGTTAGGTAGGGGACATAGTGACAGCATGTTTCTGCATCTCTTTGAGTACATCTTTTCATCTGCTTATGAGCAGTCAGTAAATGAATTCATGTAAAGTGTTACAAATAGTTCCTGGCAATTGGTTAGTCTTCCATTAATGCTAGTTATTATTATTATTATCATCATCATTCTTCCAATCAATGTCTCTATTATACCTCCATTGGAGAGGTAGTATCATGTCCTCAAGCAGTGTGAGATCACTGCCATCATTTACACAATGAATAATGTATCACAAAGAGCAAGCTTTTATTGGCTGCCATTTTCCATAAGAGTTTAAAGACATTTGGAAGAGCAGGGTAAATTAAGGGTGGAATCTGTCAGAACTTTTCTAACAGAGGTTGCCTAAACTATTCACACAACAATCTTTCTGGTGTGCTTTCTTTGACTAACATCAGTGACCTTTACTCATTTTAATACAGGCTGTGACATAGATTATAGATATATAGAGATTTGGTGGTGCTGATGTGTCATGGAGTCCTTCCAACTCAGAGCTGCCCTGTATAGAGTTTCCAAGATTGTAAATCATGGAAGCAGAAAGCCTCATTTTTTTTTTTTTTTTTTCAGCTGAGCAACTGGTAGGTTTGAATGACTGACCTTGAGGTTAGCAACCCAGTTCATAATCCAGGATGCTAACAGGGCTCCTATAAAGAGGTTTAAAGTTGTTGTTGTTAAGTGCCATCAAGGTGATTCTGACTCATATAGACCTTGTATAGGATTTCTGAGGAGATGTTGATGAGCTCCAACAGCCTATCCTATTCAAACTGACCTTGCAGTCCAGCACATTAACCTCTAGTGCCACACCAGGATGCCATATAGAAATTTAGAGTGCAAGTACTACTTTCATTAGAAAATAACAAAACAGAGTCATTTCAAGCAGTTTTAGCTCAGATTTCCCACAGAATTAAAATACATGTCTTTAATATTAGAATGAATAAAGATGACCAATATTAATGATTTGAACCCAATTGTGAATTGTTTTATAGTTTACAATATGTCTATGTGTTTTTTAATGAAGACTGTGTCAGATTTAAATGAATAGAAAGTTTTATGGACTAATATTTCAGTGCTAATTTGTTTCATCAATTCCAGACATTTAGTGCACCTTTGGAATTGTAGGTTGGAAATTACCTTGAAAATCAAGTAGCCTCACCCCCTAATATTAAGCATTAAAATTGTGCTAAGATATTTGCTTTAACCATATCATGCAATTTAGTCAGTTTTTTTTTCATTTCCAGAATAAAATTTCATACATCTTCCCTAGTCAGTGGTACTACTTGCCCTAACATTGCAGGCATCAACTAATATTTTGCATGTATAAAACATTCAAGAATGTGTTCCTTTATTTCTTTCTTCAACTGAAAATAAAATTTCTTTAAGGAGAAGCACAGACATGCCAACAAGGAGCCAGACTGAGAAACACCGAAAGTAGAGACCATCCCAAATGCAACATAGTGTCCACAAAGGATCACAATATACCCAGTAGAAAACATAAAATCATGGGGTCATGGAGGTGATAATAACTTATAATGACTATATATATTCTGATGAGTCACACTGAGGACTCTATTCACGTTTTATTAAATGCTGAACTTTATGGTACATATATGTTTTAATTTTGTTTTTCTCAAAATGGGAGACAAATAAAGATGAAAAGTTGGTAAATAGCATGATCCCTTTAAATAAGAAAAAGTATTAATATAATTATTGGTAATGATTTTAAAAATTCTGACTTCTAATCACTGAAAAAGAGAACATTAATTTCGATAAAACCAATCAACTCTTTGGGATTGAGGAGTAACATTATAAATACATGATCTCATACAGCTTAGCAAACATTAATACATTTTACTCAGCATATTTCCCTCCAAATGTTTGAATTTGAAAAATCATTGACATAAATTTAATTTTTATTTTGTAGACAATAAAGGATGATTCATGGCTATAAATTGAAAGAGGACTTTTGTTGTTTCAGGACAAAACAGAATCAAGAGTTTTTTGGGTTATTTCAGGAAAAAAAAAACTGAATTAGAGAGGCAGAAGCAATAACAGAAAAGCTAAAAAATGTGAGTTGTAGAGACCAGTATAATTGTGAATAAATTGTAACCTTTCTCACACTAAATGTCACTGACACTAAAGGTCTCTGGAGTCTAGTTCAGAAGAACCTCAAGAGATTTTTTAAAGATCCTACGTGGGAAGATGAGCTGGTGCTTTCAACAGAGTGAGTGCCAGATAGACTGTACAAGTAACGAGAAGTAAATAGAAATCAAAAGTAAGTATGAACACCCAGGTTAGGAGGATAAAGATAGATATTGTTAATTTTTTTTTAATATTAAATCTTAACAATTATTTTGTCAAACAAACACAAATATAATTGTAAATGTACTGATTTGATTCGGTGAAATCCTTTTCAAACTCTTATTTTATAAAAGTATTTTATTTCTGCTAATAAAAGCACAGGGGTAAGGATGTCAAGGAAAAAATTAATTATTTTAGTAAAGCACCACAATCACTGTTATGTTGCTTTGCTCCTGTAGGTATTTGAATTAAAACATGGACCAAAGTAATGAAAACTCAACTGATTTCATCCTCCTCGGGCTCTTTCCAGGGTTCAGGCATCCCTCCCTTCTCATTCTTATAGTTCTCCTCATCTACACCATTGCCTTTACCGGAAATGCACTCTTGATCCTCCTCATCTGGCAGGACTCTCGCCTTCACACCCCAATGTACTTCCTGCTTAGCCAGCTTTCCCTCATTGACCTGGCTTATATTTCCAGCACAGTCCCCAAAACAGTAACCAACTATTTCACAGGGAGGAAGAACATATCCTATTTTGCCTGTGCAACTCAGCTATTTTTCTTTCTCACACTTGGAATTGCTGAGTGTGTCCTGCTGACCCTCATGGCCTATGACCGCTATGTGGCTGTCTGTATTCCCCTGAGATATACAGTGCTCATGAGCCCTACTGTCTGTCTGCAGATGGCTGCTGCAGCCTGGATAGGAGGAGCTCTTGCTGCCCTTATTCACACCATCTATCCAATGCATTTCCCTATTTGTGGTTCCAGGGAGATTAATCATTTCTTTTGTGAGATGCCTGCCATCTTGAGACTGTCTTGTGTGGACACAACAGCCTATGAGATGGTGAAATTTGTGACCACCATTGTGTTTCTACTGGTCCCATTTATTCTCATCCTGTCATCATACACCTTCATATTCCTCACTGTCTTTAGGATGAACTCCCGCAAGGGAAAGAACAAAGTCCTTGCCACCTGCTCTTCCCACCTGACTGTGGTGAGTCTCTACTTTGGTCAGGGTATCTTCATTTACATGATGCCCAGCTCTTCCCATACACCTGAACAAGACCAGATTGTTGCTGTGTTTGGCACCATGGTGACCCCCATGCTCAATCCTCTCATCTACAGTCTGAGGAACAAAGAAGTAGTGGGGGCTCTGAAGAAGATGATAAGAAGGTTTTGCAGCTGTGAAACAGCATAGATTGTTTCTCAAAACAAAAGCTCCATCCTCAGATTTCAGACCATCCATAGTCAACCAAATCACAAAGATGTTTTGCTGTCAGAATCGAAATACACCAAACTTAAATGGAAAAGCATGAAATGCCAATGAATCAGTTCCTTTATAGGGTTTTCGAATAGCACCTGGTGGGTTTGAACTGCAGAACTTGTAGTTCACTCTGGGTACCCATGCTTCAGCACCAAGCATACAAAAATTCTTTTAAAATGTTCTATACATTCAGTCACAAATTAGGTCTTAAAATAATTTAACTTTATGAAGACCTGCTACAGTAGTTTTGTAATTATTTTCATCAAAATTGTACTTGCATGTAATATTAAGGAATTTGTTAGATGATGTCTGCATTGTACTTAGTGGGCTTTCTTTGGAATGGACACAAATATGGATATCTTCCCATAAGTTGGCCAAGTAACTGTCTTCTCAATTTTTTAACATAGATGTCTGAGTGCCTCCAGTGCTGCTCATTTTGTTAAAGCATTTCAAGCTATATTCCATCAATTCCTGGAACCTTGTTTTTCCATCAATGCCACCAATGCATCTTGAACTTCTTTCTTCAATGTCGCTGATTCTTGATCATATTGTATCTCTTGAAATGACTGGACATTGACCAATTCTTCTTGAGCTGCCTTTTGAAATATTCTGTTCAGCTCTTTTACTTGAGCATTTCTTCAAGTTGCTTTAGACTCTCTATGCTCAAGAGCAAGTTCCAGAGACTCTTCGGATATTCAGTATGGTCTTTGGTTTGTATCCATTTTTTTAATGAACTTTGGATTCCTGATGTGGCTTTGAAAGATAAAGCACTGGACCACAAGGTTTGAACCACAAGGTCTGTGTTTCAAACTCTCCAGCTGCTCCTTGGAAACCCTAAAAGAGTCACTATAAGTGTCATTGACTCAATGGCACTTAACAACAACAAATGACCTTTTGCTTTCTTCATGTTTGATGTTCTTAATGTCTTCCTACAACTATTTTAGTCTTTGGTCATTAGTATCTAATGCAACAAACCTGTTCTTGATATGGTCTCTAAATTTTGATAGGATATTCTCAATGCTGTATTTTGGCTGTTGTGGACTTGTTTTAATTTATTTCAGCTTCAGCCTGAACTTGCATATGAACAAGTGATAATCTGTTCCACAGGTGACATCTGGCCTTATTTTGGCCAATGATATTCACCTTCCATTGTCCCTTCCCACTAATGTACTCAATTTGATTACTGTGTATTTCATCTGGTGATGTCCAGGTATGGTTGTCTATTTTATGTTGTTGAAAAGTTATTTGCAAATTAATAAGTCAATGGCTTTGCAAAATTCTATCATGCAATCTCCAACATCATTTGTACCACCTAGGTCAGTTTCCAACTTTCCCATTTCAATAACTAGAAAATATTAATGTGTGATCAGTTTCAGACAGAAGAAGTCAACTGACTTCTTTAATTTCATCATCACTAACTTTAGTTGGTGTGTAAATTTGGGTAATTGTGGTATTAATTGATCTTCCTTAAGACGTATGTGTATCATCCTATCACAGGCAACATTGCACTTCAAAATAGATGCTGAAAAGTTCTTTATTCTAATGTAGGCAGTGCTATCCATCTTCAATTTGTCATTTCCTACATAGTAATCCACTGTGGGTTAATGTACCAGACTGCAAAGCCATTTGAACTGCAAGGTTGGCGGTTCAAGCTCACCAGCTACTCCTCGGAAACCCTATACAAGGTAGCTATGGGTCGGAATCAACTCGACGGCACTTAACAACAACAACATAGTAAGCCATGTGATTGCCTGATTCTAAATAGTCAATACCAGTCCATTTCAGCTCAGTAATGCCTAGGATACCAATCCTTATGTGTTGCATTTCATGTCTGACAAATTCCAATTTTCCTACATTCATACTTTGTACATTCTACATGGTGTTGTTAAGAGCCTTCAAGTCAGTTCTGACGCATGTATTGCAGCCCTGTATAGGGTGTCCGAGGAGTGGCTTGTGGGTCTAAACTGCCAACCTTTTGGCTCAATCTAACCTTGTGGTCCAGTGCATTATCCTGCAGAGCCAAATCTATCAATGTATGTTTATAACTTTTTCTTCTCAATTTGAGTTGTTCCCCATCAGCAAATGAAAGTTCCAAAAGCTTGATTCCGCCCACGTCATTATGGTCAATTCTAATTTGAGGAGACAGCTCTTCCCCGTCATATTTTGAGTGTCTTCCAACCTGAGAGGCTCATCTTCTGGCACTGTATCTGACAATGCTATTTATCAGGCTTTCAGTGGCTAACCATTTAGTAGTGTTTTTCCTCTCTTTCTTCCTAGACTGTAAACGCCTCTGAAACCTATCCACCATGGGTGACTTTAGTGGTATTTGAAATACCAGTGGCATAATGTCCAGTATCCAGCAACACACAAGCCACCACAGTATAGCAGATAGATGAGTGGTGGGAGATACACCACCCTTAATCCCATCATGACCCTGACCTCCAATATACAGGAGATTTCAAAATATCTGGCATATAACAGCATTTATTTTACAAAAGATAAAAGGAGGGAGATGATAACAGAGAAAGAGAAACCTACTATCACCAAGAAATAAGAGTCAGGATTAGAGTGTGTCCTTTTATTTGGGGTCTCTGCACTTTGAAGCAACTAGATCCTTGGAACGATTGATGTATAGACACCTAGATAACTCCAAGCAATGCTGGGGTTATATGTGATGAAAAAAGAAAAGAGCCTTTCCCCTGAGCTGGGACTCTGAATTCAGACTTACAGACTTTTGACCATGAGAGAATATTTTGTTTGTTAAAGTCATCCACTTGTGGCATTTCTGCCATAGTAGCAC